TGGGTGTTCTGGTCCACAGCCAACTAGTCCTCCTGCTTTGGGTATTCTGTTCCACAACCAACTAGTCCTCCTGCTTTGGGTGTTCTGGTCCACAGCCAACTAGTCCTCCTGTTTTGGGTGTTCTAGTCCATAGCCAACTAGTCTTCCTACGTCAGGTGTTCTGGTCCATAACCAACTAGTCCTCCTGCTTTGGGTGTTCTGGTCCACAACCAACTAGTCCTCCTGCTTTGGGACATATGGCAAAGTAACCTCATGGCAGAAGTGTATAGCAGAGGAAATCTGCTTATATCCCCAGTAGCCTAAGACCGCCTGTTGTGGAATATTATTTTAAGATGTGTTACACTTGTTTATGCTATGGAACATTAGTTTTAATGACACAAAGATGTGTTGCATTCTTTTTTATTATTATTTTTTAAATTTATTTATTTATTAAGGATTTCTGCCTCGTCCCTGCAACTGCTTCCCATTTCCCTCCCCCTCCCCTGATAAAAGAGCAAGCAGTGTTCCCTGACCTGTGGTGCATTCTTTTAAGTTGCATTTGTTTAACTCTGTGAAATGGTGTTACTTTGTCTAAAACACCCAATTGGTCTAATAAAGAGCTGAACGGCCAATAGCAAGGCAAAAGAAAGAATAGGCAACATTGTCAGGCAGAGAAAATAAACAAGAGAGATCTGGGAAGAAAGATGGGAGAGAGAGCAAGAGGAGGAGAGAGAGACTCCAGGTGCCAGCCACCCAGCCACCCAGCTACACAGCAAGTCACAGAGAAAGAAGAAAGGTATCCAGAAATAGAGAAAGATTTAAGCCCGGAGGCAAAAGATAAATGGGATAATTTAAGTTAAGAAAAGCTGGCTAGAAACAAGTCAAGCTAAGGCCAGGTTTTCATAGATAAGAATAAGACTCTGTGTGTTATTTATTTGGGAGTTAGATGGTGACCCCCACAAAAAAACAAAGGGCCAAAGAGTAAAAGAATAAAATACCAACTACAACCTCTCATTAGGTCCTACCTCCCAAATGTTCCACTGCCTCCAAGAGGCAGTGTACCCAAGAAATAGAGTCCCCAAGGCTGGGGATTGGACCCTTATCCAAAGCATGACACCATAAATATAGTATGAGATTTGTATCCAAAATATATAAGGAACTCAACTCAATAGCAATATAAATAATAATAATAATAACAGTAATAACATTATATAAATAAGCAACAGATTTAAATAAAAATTTCTCAAAAGAAGACATACAGATAAATAAATAAATAAATAAATAAATAAATAAATAAAATTTTACCATCACTAATTGTCACGGTTAATCTTGGTTGTCAAGGTGAGTAAGCCTGGAATCACTAAGAGATTATTCCCATGCTTATTAAACTACTCAAAACAACCAAGATACAGAACAAACCAGTTGTCCACTGACAGTTGAGTGGGATTTAAAATGTGATGCTAATAAAAACTCCATAGAATATTACTCACCTTTAAAAATAAGAACATTTACTACATTGTGAGTGGATCTGAAGGACATTGTGCTAAGTAAAAATAAGATGGACACAGAAAGAGACAGATACATCTCACACATGGAATCTGAGAAGTCTAACTCATGGAAGCAAAGAATAGAATGGTGGTTGCCAGGCTGAGAGCAGGGAATTTGGGAGATGTTATTCAAAGAGTAAAATGATTCAGTAATAAGACATGAGTGAGTACTAGTGAATAAATGAAGCTAGAGCCTTCGTTCATAACACAAACAGAAGGAAAAACATCCAAAACGAACTCCAGATTTAATCATTGGCCACTCTACCATGTGGTGAGTAGGGTTAATATTGCTGGGTTATGTACTTGATATTCTCTAGACAGTTGGCCTTTAATGTTCTTACCACAAAAAGATATCTCTGTATGTGTGATGTGTGTGTGAATGTGGTAACCATATCGCAATGTATATCATATTGTACCTCATAAGTATATGTAATTTTAGCTGGCAGATGTATCTCAGTAAAGCTAGGGGTGAGGCAAGAAATTCACATTAGTGTCTCCAAAGAACATCTCCAGACATAGAACTCAGCACAAAAATTGAGACCTAGTTAAGAGTGCAGAGCAGGAATGGGAGGCCAAAGGACAGAGACATACAGAATTCTATCCCATTGTTTGCAAGCTTGATGCTTTGAAATGTTATGTAACATGTAGGCCTTCAGCTATTAAAAATTAAATGAACTCCTTTCTGAAAAAAACAAATTGTGGCCCAACACACAGATTGCAGCTGACCTTGCAACCTAGGGAGTGCAAAAGGTTCATTGCTCTGAAACACACACACGCACGCACGCACATGCATGAACACATGGGAACACTATGACTATAGTACATAATAATAATGTATATAACTTTGGAGAAAAAAGGTGTACAGAACAGGGCCAAACAGGCTGCCAAGAAGCATAACTGCAGGCAGGGGCCATGAGGCAATCAACTCGAAAATGTGGTCTCTACTACCCCATGGACATGGTGGGGTGGGGTGTGTCTAGAGAGAAACTTCTACTGAATAAAAGGTACTTAACACTACATCTTGCTGGGCAGTGGTGCCACACACTTTTAATCCCAGCACTCAGGAGACAGAGGCAGGCAGATCTCTATGAGTTAGAGGCCAGCCTGGTCTACAAGAGCTAGTTCCAGGCTGGTTCCAAAGCTACAGAGAAACCCTATCTTGAAAAGCAAAAAACAAAACTACTTCATTTGAATTTGTAACTTTTTTTTAGTTTTTAGTCAGGACCTCACTATATAGCTCAGGTTAACTTTGAACTTACTCTCTAGTGCAGGCAGACCTCAAACTTGGAATTCTCCTGCCTCAGCCTCCCAAGTATTAGGATGATTCAGGCCACCATGCCCAGCCTCGTTTGAGGCTTTAGACTTTTATTTATTAATTTTTTTATCAGTTCTTTGAGGATTTCATACAGGCCTTAGATGTATTTGGATCATACTCATCCTGACTCCCCTGCTACTTCAGGATCCGCCCACAACCTCCCATCCCTCCGACACCCGCATTCAGCCAGCAAGCCCCAGGAATCTGCTGCCTCCCCAGTGCTGGGACTCCAGGTGTGCACTGCCACACCTGGCTTTTACATGGGTTTGGGAGATAAAAGTCAGAGCCTCATGCTCCTTTTTGAGTGAGCCATCTCCCCAGCACAGACCCCTGAAACCTGGCACACTTAGGTCTCCCTGTCATACAACCAAATCCTTTAAATGTGAGCTGGCAACCTCCTTTTCTTCCTCTCTCTCTATTCTCCTGCTCTCTCAATATTATTTTTTAAAGAAGAGGAAGTTTAGTAACTAAAACATCTTAGATTTTTATGTGACTGAAGGCAAGTAGGACTAGTGCCTGTGTAGGCTCAAGAGAAATGATACCACCCACCTTCACAAACATACCCAGTCAGGTAAGTAATGAGGGTCACAGGTGTTCTAATCCAAGATACCCAATTCACATGTTGACGGTTTCTCTCCTTTAGTCTGTAACTCCCTCTGATTTAATCAGCTCTTGAACATACATGGTCCATGAGTCTTTGGCCACATCCTTCCTTCCTGTCCCCCTGTTCCAACTCAGCCCCAGCCAGCACAGAGCTCACGGAGTACAACACAGAGCGCAGCAAACTCCTGAGCAGCTAGCGGCTCTCTCAGCTGCAGGAAAAGAAGGCCGAGGCAAACAGGCAGTCCTTTCCCTAGACATGACCAGACATGACAGTTCTCACTCCCACAACCTGGACCCACCAACGCTCTCCATCACAGTGCCCAAGCCTCTTCAGGCACACCTCTAGGTTTCCACCAGACATTCACAAGGCAACTACAGTCCCCCAAACCATGAGGCCCTGGGCCCCTGGAGGCCACCCACTCATGTGGAACTCAGGGCACCATGGAAGGACATGACCTCTTGCCTGAGCCCAGGCAGGAGCTAAGAAAGGTGTGACTGTCTTAGGCGTCCTCCCTCTGACACTAGGACCACAAGGCACCCTGGATTTCTCTAGAGGCAGCAACTATGCTAACTACCTTTTGTACTGACATTGCAATGTTTAGGTTTCCACATCTGCCCCATGGCTAAGAACCCTTGGGAGGCAGAGATTGCATACACGGGGTGCATTCTCCCCCATCACCCCAAAGACACTCCTTTCGTACCATGCAGCTCAGTGTAAACCGTGCTGGCTCCTAGGCACCCTCCAGTTGATGCTGGTTTACCTGAAACTGCCATTCTCCTCTACCTGCTAAGAGGAAGTTCCCTGAGTGCCCATTCCCTGAATATTCCCCCAGATTCTTTATCCCCACTCAGAGTTTGGAAGACACAAAGCTTCTCAGGCCTAAGAGCAGGAACATAACTAGGTCTTAGAATGGTGGTCAGATCCTACACAGAGGGCAGAATGAGAAGAATATCACTTACAGGACAGCCTAAATGCAGCCAGCTCAGGAGCAAAAGCTGCCTTCCTGACCCCTGTCCACCCGTCCCACTAAATCCTGCTGTCCAAGTGTCACCAACTTTCATCCACTAAGCCCACACACCAGCATAGTAACTCATGGGAAGGAAGGAAATGTCTTCCTGCTGTCCTCCACTGGACTGCCATACGGATCACACCTACCTCTGGCCAAGACTCAAAGACTTGCTAGAAATCCCTTCCCCTCCCAAGCACTCCACATCAATAGCAAAGGTGAAATACACACATGTACCCTATCTATGATTTGATGCATTCTGGGAGAGGCGGTCATTCTTAAAAAGCAAAGCTAAACCCTCCTAAAACACTCATGACCATCTCGTTCCTTCTCCATAAGCTTCCACAGGAAAGGAAAGGAACAAAGTAAACAGAGGAAGAGCTCCCACAGTCATGAGGTGAACCGTGCTCCGAAACGCCAGCTCCTTAGGCTGCGCTTGCTAGAAGACTAGCCACAAGTCATCTAAAGCAGCACCAGACTTTAGCACGTGGCTGCATGGTTCTCGAGACCCTGCACAGGCCTGGCCTGCATCTCTCCAAGGTTACATACCTCAACAGGTTGAAGCTCAGATCAAGCCTCTTTGCAAAATGTCCGTAGTCCCTGCTGAGCTGCTCTGGGATTTCTCTGCAGTCCTGGCCTATGTAAGACACCTGGAGAGTAAATAGAACAGAAATGGAAATTACCCAGCTGCTCACAGCTCAGAGCCACTGACCCCATGGTTGCTTCCGCAGCTTTAAAGGCTGGCTCTTCAAAACAAAAAGGCTAATCTGCGCCTATTCCCCCAAGCTTTTAAAAACAACTCCCAACAACTCCCCTTTCATGGCACAGTTAGTTTGATGAAGACATATTGTGGCAAAACAGAAATTAGGTTAAAATTGGCTAAGATGCAGGCGCCCAAAGGAAGCCCAAGGCCAGAGTATGTGGAGAGAAGCCATCTGCCCTGACCTGGTGACAGCTGCCCGTCTGGCCCTTTTCACTCTCCCATCCACCCCATAATACACTCGTCCTCACAGAAGACAGAACTGATGCTCTACCAAGCATGCCTCAACCTTTTCTCCCACTTCAGAAGCAGCCCCTGAAGTCACAAGGTAAAGCCTCCCACCTTCTGAGACTGCCACAAAATCTAATCTAAAAAGCTCATGCTCAACTATACAATCAAGTTATTTTTTTTAAAAAGAATCAGAAACACACTAAAAGTAAGGTCATGATTTTGTGTTGGCTTGCATTCACAGCTATCAGTGGGAACATGCAGCCCTCACACCACAAGTTGGACCCCTGTACCCTTGAACCCCCTCAAGGTGCTAAAAAAAAAAAATCAAGGCTGGGCAAGGAAATCTCCCCAGACCATCAATGTCATCCTATTACCACTGTGTGTAAAATGCCCACCACACTCCCAATCAAACTGGTGGCAAGGCAAAGAAGGGCATGTAGCCGGAGTTTGAGGCTCTTCCATCAGGAAGATGTTTGTTTGTTTAATGTGTATGAGTGTTTTGCCTACATGTATATATGTGTACCACATACATGCCTAGTGCCCACAGAGACCAGAAGAGTGTATCAGTGCCCTCTAACTGGAGTTATAGATGGCCACCATCCTCCATAGGGGTGCTAGGAACTGGATCCCAATCTTCTGCAAGAGCAGCAAGCATTCTTTACTACCAATTGCTCTCCTCACCTCCCTTTTTTCTTCTCTTTAAATTTTTATTGATCTTTTGAGAATTTCATAAATTATATTTTGATCACATTCACCCCAACTCCTCCCAGACACAACACCAAGCTCCCACCTCCGACTTTGATTTATGTTGACCATACTCTCCTCGGTGTGGAACACACACTAGAGCACGGTTGCCCTGCCAGGGGCCACATTTTAAAGAAAGCTGACTCTTCCTCCCCCAGAATGTCATCAACTGTCCACAGTTCCTCAGTTAAGGATGCGGACTCCTGAGCTTTGCCCCCATGATGGAATGCTGGAGGAGTTGGTCTTGTCCAGGTCTTGTGACGGTGACCACACCTGCTGACCATCTGTGAGTATGATGGTCCCGTCCTGTCCAGAGAACACTATTTCACGCCAGCCCTTCCTGTCTTTAGCTCTTACAGTCTTCCTACTCCCACTTCCTGATAGTCCCTGATGGTGGGGGGAGGGGAAGAAGGAAGAGGGATGTAGATGTCCGATTTTAGCCCTCCAATGACACCTACTCTCTGCACTTTGAACAGTTGGGAGCTTCACTAACCTCCTTCAACTACAGAAAGAAACTTCTCTGACATCGGAGAGCTGCACTAACCTATGGGTACAGTGATGTGAATTCAGAGAGTCGTTTGATATTATGTTTGCTTAGCAGAATAGCAGTTGTCAGTTCATCCCTAAGGTGCTCACCAACCATGCACTCTTGGCCAGATTCACAGTACCAAGCATGAGTTTCCTCCTGTGGAACAGGCCTTAAGTCCCGTGATTGATTGGTTAACCCCGTAGTGTTCACGCCACCCTTGTACACAACTATGGCCATATCTTGCCATTCTGGTCATCATCGCACTCACAGCATGGTGAGGCTGCATTGATAGCATTTTCCTCAGCAGTGTACATGGCACCCTCTAGCCAGAAAGCTTTTGTAAGTCTTTTGCCTCCTTCAGCATTCTTTTTATGTTTATCTTATTTATATAATCATTCAAGCATATCATATGTATTTCCAAATATTAAAAGGCCTAACTGAAATTCGATCCTAGAACTCCTGAGAAGACTTTCAGGGCACTTCCCTCTACTCTAACCACTCAGTTTGGGGAGTCCATTTTTAGGACTGCAGGCAGAAAAGCATGCATTGTAGGTGACCAAGAGGTACACAGGTATGAAACACTACTGAACTATACTACCTTCAAACACCAGATAGAAACTCTGGCCCTTTAAGAAGCTATAACACTGATCCTGGATTCCCACAAACCTACCTTCTGTACAGACAGACAATGATGTCTTGGGATGGCTGACAGAACTCCAGCGTACTATGGTTCTCAGTAGGGAAGAAAACATGGTGGTCATCAGACATCCTGGACTGATGGAGCCTTATGAATGACAGATCTCAGAACTACAAAGCCATGTCTTTTTTCAAGGCACCGATCACCTCTTCTCTTACAAGGAGACAAACTATTGGCAGCACAATGTCTCATGTTTTCTATCTTCCCATTCACTGTATTTCAGTAACTTCATCCAGCAAGAAAGTGAGAGAGGAAAGGATAGAAAAAGCAGCTAATAATGATCGGTGGTGACATCACACACCTGTGGTCCCAGCACCTGGGAGGCAAAGCAGTTGCCTGGGCAACTTAGTATGCTCAAAGCCAGTCTGAGTAGCATAGCCATGTTTTGTACACCACTAAAAGATGACCACAACAAAATAATGTATAACATATATTCTCTCTCTCTCTCGTGTGTGTGTGTGTATGAATATGTGTGTTTATTCACATGTGTGCCATGGCACATCCATGCTATATAAAAGACAACTTGAAGTTCTCTCCTTCCACCATGTAGATCCCCAGGATGAAAATCAGGCTTAATGGCAACTGCTTTTACCCACACTGAATCATCTTAATGGCTCAAAAAAATAATTTTGACTCAGGAAGATATTGATATGATGAATACCATATATGATATTAAAGTATAATAATAATAATAATAATGGGATCTCACTTCAATATAGCTAGATGTCCCCTTTCTATATTAGATCCATTCTTTTTGCATCATTTAAAGCAATAAAGTAAGTTCTGTTTCGAAGTTGAGATGGAAATCATACACCAAGAAAAGATTGGGACTATAAGGTCCCAATTAATATAGGGGTTTAGTCTCAATCTGTAACTTGTTCTGTAAATTCATATTAACCCTCCAGGTCCATGAGAAAACCCAGCATGTACCACCACCGTTTTGTATGTCAATACATAAGATTTCCGTGACATATAAAACAGGGAAGTTTAGCCTTAAATCTGGATACTGAGCCATGTCTTCATAGCCTAGGCAAGGATTAGATCTAGTGGGGACCCAGCTTATTAAGTTCTAACTCTCACATAGGGAAGAACTCCACAGCCCTCTTAACATAACACAGATACTTAAGAATGGATCATGGGTAAGTTCTGATTCACGAATAAAGACTTCCCAACTTGGGAACCACAGAGTGCTTACATGCCCACACAGGTACGGGTGCTTCTGATCAATAGACGCTGATGGCTTCTAAACCAGTCTTCTGTCAGGAGGTGCTTTTAATGGAAGACCCTTTCAGACACCAGGAAATTTCAACTACAGTTTGTTCTCACTCTCCAGAGATGAAGACCCCCTAAGCTCCAAGATTAGCACGAGTCATTCTGGCAAGCCACATAGGACCACTCTATTATAAGCCAGCAGTTTTTGGACATGTTGGTTAGGCTGGCCAGGCTGAAGGGATCACACCAGTTGGGAAAGCCTTCAAAGCAGAGGCAGTCACTGAAGAGCAGAGGAACCACTAACTAGAAGAGAAAGTTGATTAGGATGTGCTTCTGGTGGGAGAAGCTTTGGAACAGCAGGCAGCTTCTAATTGCAATGGCTTCTTCAGCATGAAGACAAGAGATGTGGTCACAGATGGACCAGAGTCATTGTATCTGACCCATTATTCTGTTTAGGCTAAATTTAAGGACAAGATGTTGCACTTTCAACATTCCTACATTCTATATTTTAGGAAGGAACATCATTGCCAGGCAAACAAAAATTTACCAAGTTAGGATCAGGGATGTGGCTCAATCAACAGGATGCTTGCCTGGTATGCATGGGTCCAATTCCTGGCACTGCATAAAGTGGGCACAGCGGTGCATGCCTGTAATCCCAGCACGTGGCAGGTAGACGCAAGATACTGGAAGTTCAAGATTGTCCTCAGCTACACAGTAAATTTGAGGCTAGCCTGGGTCACATGAGTTCCTGTCTCAGAAAGGGAAAGGGAAGAGATGGAGAATGGGAAAGGGAAAGGCAAAGTGAAAGGACAGGGAAAGAGAAGGAAGGGGGAGGGAGAGAAGAAGAGGGGACAGTAGAGGAGAGCAGAGAAGAGAGGGAAAAAAATCTAGGCAAAGAGCCCTCCAGAGAGAAAGCGGAGAAAGATGTGAGAATGTGTGAGTAGATGCCCAGCCCAGACACATACTTAGTCCCTGTGAGCAGAGCTGTAAAGGCAGCTGAAGTATAAGTGACCGCAAATGTCGGCTTACCATCAGGACAGTTGCTTCTGGGCCCTTTCTAATGTGTTAAGTTTGTCAGTCATCAGATTATCTAGGGCCCCCATCTATTACCGGGTTTGCAATCACAGGGAGCATAGCTCTGGGTTCATTTGTGAGCACCAGCATAGCTATCCACCAGCTGCTTCCTTGGATAAGTCACAATGTCCTGGGGCCTGTTCCCCCTTTTGTTTTCTTCATTTAGAGAGCTGCATGTAGCCCAGACTGGCTTGGAGTTCACTATGTAGCCGAGGATGACCTTTGGCTTCTGTTCCTCCTGCCTAGTTTATGCTGGGGACCAAACCTAGAGCCTTGTGCATGGTAAGCAGGCAGGCACTCTACTAGCTGAGTGATCCCCAGCCCTGCTTTCTCTTTATTAAATTTATCAAATACTGTCACCAACTACCATCAAAAGTAGTTACGATAGCACAATAACATTTAATAAATGCCAGCCATGTGCCCAACATCTTCTGCATCCTCACAAAATGGTCTTTGGGATCAGGCAGCATCATTGCCTTTGTACTGTATGGTAGGAGCAAAATAACATACGAAAGACGCCATCTCTGTTGCGGAGAGGTCACCCAATCAATATCTGTTGTTTCAGACCAATATCCCCATGGAAAGGATTGGTTATTCTCATTGTCTCTTGGGCCAAAGATTTCAGTGCCCAAATTTCAAGTTTACATTTATGTCTGTAACTGTATTCATGCTACACACTGTAGCTGTTATACATTAATGGAAAAAGGAAGATGTAATGTTGAATATAAATGAAGCATTCACACCAAGAAAAGCCAAATAAGGTCAGGCCCATGATGACTAAAAAGACTTTACAGAAAAAAATGATGGGACAGTACCAACCCTCCTACTTGCATGTCAGCCACTGGCCCATGGTGACCCCAGAAGCAGCAATATAGCATCAGACAAATGTCACCAGCATCTCTCTAAATCGTTTTCATGTTTACTGGAATTTTTCCTTGCACTTAAACCATCCCTTTATTTAGGATGTATATTCTCTAAACACTGGAAAGGTTATATCCAATCATATATAAAGTTTTTCCTCTTTAAGAGGGATCATGTGGTTGCGGGGACGAGGCAGAAATCCTTAATAAATAAATAAATTTAAATAAAAAAAAATAAAATAAAATAATAAAAAAAAAGAGGGATCATGATAGATCTAGAGAAATGGCTCAACAGTTAAGAGTACTTGCTTCTCTTCCAAAAGACCCAAGTTCTGTTCCCAGCACCCATGTCTGGCAGCTCACAACTACCTGGAACTCCAGCTCCAGGAAATCTGTCTTAGTCTGCTTTCTATTGCTGCGCTAAAGACCACTAAACAAAAGCAATTCGATGAGAAGGGTTCGTTTGGATTGTATATTCCAGATCACAGTCCACTGATGAAAGGCAAAGCGAGAACTCAAGGGAGGCATGACTCTAGCTTTTGTCAAGCTGACAAAATTCTAACCAACACAATACATGATGCACTCTCCTGCCTTTCTTGGGCACCCCCACATACTACTCACAGACACACAAACTCATGCAAGTAAAAATAAATATTGTTAAAGAAAAACCTAGAGCTGGAAATGTAGCTTCATGGTAACATGCTTGCCTCGTAAGCAGAAGCGTTGGGTTAGAATCCCAGCACCAAAATAATATAAATTAATTAATTAAAAGATCTACCTGATAACAGGGTAGATAGGTTTACTAGAGTGTTAATTGGCAAGAGGCACAAATGCTACAAGGCATATCTGCTGATGTCCCAATGGGTGTATCTGCTGATGTCCCAATGGGTGTATCTGCTGATGTCCTATAGCACACAGTAGCAATGGTGTATCTGCTGATGTCCTATAGCACACAGTAGCAATGGTGTATCTGCTGATGTCCTATAGCACACAGTAGCAATGATGTATCTGCTGATGTCCTATAGCACAGAGTAGCGATGAGTGTATCTACTGATGTTCTATAACACACAGTAACAATGAGTGTACCTGCAGATGTTCTATAACACACAATAGCAATCTATTATGCTTTGTGTGATTCAAAACAACCAGCAGAAGGGACTGCAAGCCCCTAGCATAAGCAACTAAATGATATGCATTTACTATAATAGATAGACCAATTCCATTCTTCTGATTATTATATACTAGATGCATGTATTGAAATATTACACTGAACCCTATTGAATAGGTGGTTTTTAAGAAGGAACTTTCTGTCAGAATCATAAACATTCAAGGTGCTATATCTCACAGTAGGTGCTGTTATAAATTGTGTGGAGCTGATGGTAGCAAATACTCTAACCCCAGAGTCAGGCACTCACATTCACTATCTAAATGCTGTATGAAAGGAGACAGTAACACCCCAGATACCCCTGTGGCTTCCTAGCTCCTCCCAGTACTTTATCTTGAAATACTGGACACGGCCCAAAACGTCTCACCCACAAGTCAGCAGATGCCCCTGAGCCCTGGGCAGCAGGCTCCGTTAGGGGCACAGGAAACGCCAAGTCTTGAGAAGGACAAGATAAGAAAAAGGAAGTCTGGGGAAGTTTCGACCTCACTGTTAAGTTCTCCAGGAACTTGGAAGAAACTATACAAAGAGAATGCTGGGATTGGAAATGCAGAGACCACCAAATGCATGAAGGGACCCTGCTTCTTAGGCAAATACACACAGGGGCAGGCCCCCATACACACACACACACACACACACACACACACACACACACACCCCTCTTTCTAGGAAGTCAAACTCACTCCCAGAAGCCCCCTTTCCCTGGCTCAGATCCTCCTTTTTAGCCACTTAGCAGAGGCTGACAGCAGTTTGCCGGGCTCACTCCTCAACTCTGGACTTGTGCCTGTCTGAGGCTCCAGACAGAGCCAGCAGTACTAGGAGACAAAGCTCTCAATAGAGCAGCAGAGAGCTGCTACCTCATTTCCATCACCTGAAGGGTGCCTGGCACACAGTAGCCACTCAATAAATGAGGAAGGTACCAGACTCCTGAAAAAGGAAAGAGTTTACTTTGGGGGATGCGCACGGCTGTCGTTCTTTGGGTTTCCGATTTGTAAAACCCCTAGGCATCTAAGGAAGGACAATTCCCTAGTCCCTCATACCACAAGACTAAAGGGAGAACTTTCAAAGCTCACCACTCTTTCACAAGGGTGGAGAAGAACTTGGCAAAGTGAGACCACTGGCTTTACAAGAGGGAGAGGGGACGCAAAAGAGAAACCTTCATTTTTTTCAGCAGATAAAGGGCCCCTGCTCAGGCTGATGGAGTTCTCTCCAAACACTGCAGGCCTTACTATGGGGCTGAAAGCAGGTAGGGCAAGATGTCACTACCATGTCCTAGTGATACCTCTTCAAGAAACCAGAGACCAAGTGAAAAATGTAGAGGACCCCGAGCCTCCACCAGCTGTGGAAAAGATCACTCTGATAGCAGAGATGCCCACCAGCACGCAGCCAGAGGACACGTTGTGGCTTTAGTGACCCTGTGCACTTTGCTGCCTTGGCCCCCTTCCTCAATGGAAATGTAAGTCCATTTGTTTTACAGTACAGTTGCCCTAGTATCAACAGCTAAATGGTAGCCTATTAAAACATTTTCTTGCACACCAAAAATTCTTTTAAAACCAAGACTGTGAAAAAAGAAACTGAAACACTTTTGGTGGGTCCTGAAAAATATGAGTTACCAGGACAGGGTCTCAAGGCGAAGTTAGTCCCTAAGTGTTGATCAGTGTGGCTCCAGGGACAGAGGAAGGCAGGGGTCTGGGCTGCTCACCACACGGCCAGGAAATGTGCCATGATCAAAAGAAGGGTCTGAACTCTTCAACCTAGAGCAAGTGTGGGCACTTGGCACACATCACCTGCACATGCGGCTATCCGAGGAAGACGGCGCTCATGTTAAGCCTTGGAGACCCGGGGCCTCACTGTCCCTCCCATCCCCAGTTGGGCCCCAGGACTAATGAGGCTCGCTCGGACCAACTTACTTGAGTTCCACTGACCACTATCCCAGCCATGGTGGCTGGGACCCTGCGGCGGGCTGCACTGAGCAAAGTGGGCGGTGCAGTTCCGCACTGGGCGGTCAGCTGACCGGCGGAAGCCCCAGGCGCCGGCCGCCACCGAGAACTGCGCGCGGCTGCGCTGCAACCGCTTGCTTAACTAGACCGGGTGCACTTAAACCTCGGCCGCCAGGCAGCTCGCAACAGGTGAGGCGCTGCGCTGCACCTAACGTGGGGACCCCTCACGACTACTCCGCTCCTCTGCCCGGTTCCTCCCTGGGTCCCTGCGCCCCCAAGAAGTGCTCCCTCTAAAACCCAAAGCCCAGAACTTTGTTGCTTTCATCAGACTCAGTCTTCGGAATGAAGGAGGTCTCCATCATGGGCGTGCTTAGTTCCTGGCTCAGAACTGGGCCTTCCCAGAGTTTCACAATCTCGGTTACGTAACTGCCCTCCATTGCTGGAAGGAGGGGCCTCTTCACCCAAAGTTCCCTCCACAGTTTTGGCCTGGAAGGTGGTTGGGGAAAGGGGCTCCTGGTGGGATGGAGTTGCTATTTGTAAGAGGGAAAGTGAAGGAAAGTTGAATTGTGCCAGCCACAACCGATACTCTTACCACATGCCCTCACCGTGTGCTGCCCCCCCTCTAAGCCTTTGACAGTGATGAACAGTAATGACAGTTAGGGGAAGGGAAACTGATAATGTCTCTAAATTTCAGAATCCTCTTATTCTCCTCCTCCAAGGGAAAAGACAATTGAGAACCAAAGCTATTAACTCGATATGTGGCTGCCCTCAGCACCTGCCCACCTCCCACCCCACCCTTCTTCTCCAGAAGTGGCCACTGCCATCCCCTGACCAGGTAATCCAGCACAGGACAGGTAGCTCCTACACTCCTGATTTCCTCTGGAACCTTCTCCCTGCCTTCTCTTGCCTTCCCACCTCCACCCTCAGGATACCAGTCCTTATGCATCTATAAGGGTGGAAGCTGACCCTCCTATAGCAAAAGACATGGTTGGAGACCAGCAAGACCCTGTCTCAGAAGTGTGTGGGTGTGTGCATGCGTGCGCATGTGCACGTGTGTGTGGAGAGAGCTAAACAGAGACGTGTTGGACACTAGGGTGTAATGTCGAGTGCAACAGATTGAAGGGAGAAGCCCAGCAAGGTTGCCCCAACATCCCATCCCGTGTGGCCTTCCCTCCTCCCGGGAGTGAGGCACGACTCCTCCGGCATCAGGATCTAATAACTCCCTCTCACATAGGGCTCCTCCGAGCGTTTTTTATGACCAGATCCCACTCAGAAAGAGGGTTTCAAGTGGGAAGTCTGGGATGTAAATCTTGCTCTGGGGGAGAGGGGCTTTGGCTTCTAGGACAGGGCTTAGGGAAGTGAAATTGTGGTTTCTATGACTCACTTCTAGACGGAAAAGGAGCTGGAGACAGGAGGGCAGAAAGAGGCTTCCCTGGGACCTTGCCTTCGTCTTTATTTTTTAAATTATTATTACATTGTGTGTGTGCACACATGTATGCGTGCACACATGCACCCATTGTGACATATATGCATACTCACACACGAAGAGACCAGAGAGCAGTTTTCAGAAGCTGGTTCTCTCCTTCTATGCTATGGGTCCAGGAGAACTGAATCAGGCCATCGGGCTTGGCAGCAGGCACCTTTACCAGCCGGACAGTCTCACCGCCCCGCCCCTTCTCCTTAATTCTGTGAAGCATCACTTACCAAGCCCCGGACTTGTCCATTCTATCCTTTTCACAGATGGATGATAACATCATTCAACTAGATAAGGAAAGACTGAGTCCCAATCTCACTCTCAGGGCAGGTACCACAGCTCAATAGACCTACAGATGACTGCGGGCGCCAGCTCCACACAAGAGAATGGTCACAGTGCTCTGGTTGTCATTGTCCCCTGTGTCTTGGCAACACTTAAAAGCCACAGGCTATACGACTGATGCTGACAACTATGATTGTGGTCAAGTGTTTTCTTCTGTCCAGACTGCCCTGTTCCTAACACACTGCCAGCCAGCCAGGCCTAGGATGGCAGCCTAGTGATGGGCAGCGCTAGCCTCTGAAGGCTGGCCTGCCTGCCCCTGTCTTTCACACATGTCCCATAGGAAGAGAGGCCATCGCCAAGTGGAGCTAGGAAAAGGCAGGAAGTTCCTGGAAATGCCAAGAGTGACAGGCAGAAACAGAAAGCTACTTTCCAGAGAGAAGATAGAAGGGAACCTCCCAAGGCCTGATGCCCTGAGGACAGCTCATTCTCCCTCACCCACTGTCCGCAAGAGTCTGCCTTCCCTGCCTGACAGGGAAGAAATAGTTCAGTGCCCTGGCGGTCACGGCACTCTGCCCTCCCCTGCCACCTCTCACTTCAACCTGCTTAGCAGAAAGTGACTCACAGAAGCCTGTGCAGAAACAGGGACCCCTCTTGTATCCCTTCACACACTGTCTCCTTGCTGCTCCCTCCTCCACAGAATCTCAGGGGATCATTTCAAAACTCAAAATCTTCCAGAGCATCCCATTCAGTTCCTAATAGTCCACGCTATAACATGATCTTCAATATCACTTACAGTGCTGGAAGTATTGGTAAAGAGCTTGCCTGGCATGTGCGAGGCCCTAGGTTCCATCCCTAGCACACAAAATGAAGGGAGAAGGAAGGAGAAGAAGGGGAGGGAGAGAGGGAGGGAGGGAGGGAGGGAGGGAGGGAGGGAGGCAGGCCTTGGTGCATATGTGTTATACACAAAATAAATAATAAAGCATAACAAAAGTGTTTCAAAGAAATATCTCTTCCTTACAGCCCCATCATTTCCTACCCTCTGCCTGGACTTGTAAGAGATTTTAGTTTGGCCTGGGGATGCCTCCCTAGCGGCTCCTGTCACCACTCAGTGACCCCACCAAGAAAGCCAGCTGACAGTATATGCAAGGATCATGGGGAGATTGCAAAACAAACCCGAAGAGTTCCATCTGAGGGAGGCTTTCGTGTGTTCTGTGAGGAACTACAGAAAGTCCTTGATCAGAGTGATTGTCAGACATTCCAGCTGCTGCACCAAGCTCTGTCAACTAGATGGCAAACTGAGAACCAGATAGTTATTCCTCCTAGCTATGGAGGCCAGGAATTCTGGGACCAGTGCCAGCGGATTCCCTCGTGCTGGTACACCGGCAGCTGCATTTCCCTGTGTCCCTGGAAGGAACAAGCTAGCCCTCTGGGGCCTAAGGGCACTAATCCTATCACAAGGGCTCCACTCTCATGACCCTGTCCCTCCCAAAGACCCCCCAGCTCCTAACACTCAAAGGGTTAAGGCTTCAACATATGAACTTTAGGACACAAGCATTCAAACTATGGTGTTAGTAGTTTCTCTCGATGTAGCTGTCAGAGGCTCAGGCTAAAACAAGGGGATTTACCTCTGCTTTTCCCCATCAGCTTCCAGAGGTTGAGCCACAGAATGGAAGAACAATGGCGGGGAGGGCAGAAGGAGGAGGAAAAGAGGTAGAGATGAAGGGACAAGAGAAAAAGGTCCTATCTTCCTGGACCAACGATATTGGAAAGGGAAGGAGAAGACATCCTTCTGTTTCCCTCTGACTGAATAAAAAGAGAAATGAAGTGGCCTTCCTGTTCACAGGGAAGAGGATAAACCCTGCCTCAGAACCCACAGCAAAGGCTAACAAACTCTCCTGTGGAACGGAGGAGTTTATGAGGAGACGAGGAAGACAAGCCCTGTTGAGGCTTGGGGAGCCAACTCCTCCGGTGCCCCTGGAGCACTAGGAGAAAGGGGAGAATCATGCAAGCCTCCCCTCTCACTTGGGGCCCCTATTGATTCTCACCAGCCTGTTCTATGATGAGAGTCACAGCTTCCCTTCTCCTGCTGTTCCAATCTCCAGCCTCATTGGGGACATCCTCAGCTAACACACAGCCTTCAGTCAAAATGGTCCAGTTTGCCCAGGGTTATCTGCAATCCTGTATCAATAAGAGATGTTGTCACTGTGGTCGTGTTTTCTGAACCCCTAAGAAGGTATAGCCCAGAGTGTATAAGAACACTCATGAGGCCCACAAAACAGTAAGTTCAAACCAAGCATGACCTGGACCTCCAAGTCCATGACTCTGGCACTCTGAAGGGGCCTGTGAAGAGAAGGGTCAGCACACACAAGGGTACCTTCCTCGCCACCCTGGAGGAAGCAGGAAGTATTGTATTCCCACTGTCACCCTTGTTGTTGTTCCTTGGCAGAAGAGGCCCTTCCCCTTGGAATTCTTCCTCTGTTGCCTTCCTGGGGACACAAAGGAAGATCCTGTTTATTTTCAGTCAAGGGAGTTGATGTTGGGGTCAGCCAGGACCAACCAAACAGGAACTGGTTCCTTAAATCTTCAGATTGCGCCTTTGCAGCAGAGACCAGGACAGAGCCAGTTCCGCAGCTCCCAACATTGTCTCCAGCCTGGCCACCTTGCTTCCAAGGAAATGGGAGTCGCTATTCATCATGCTCCAGCCTCTGGTTCGAGTTCTGTACACTCAGACCTCAGCTTTGAGAGAAAAAAAATCACCTAGCCATGTGACTACCAGATGCTCCTTGATACTGCATCCGTCCCCTTCAGACCTGAGGGACAGAGGGAGGGATGTGAGAAAGAGTAGGGTGCTTGTATTGCCTCTTCTAAGTTTGTGCGCCTATGCGGAGGACAGAAGGTGATCGAAGCTCCCAAACACTTCCAGTATCCCTCAGCAAGAACCACAAATACCTTTTAAATGTATGTTGTGTGCCATCAGACTGTCCGGCTTGGGAACCCCTTTTACAATAATATTTCCTGTTAAATTTACTGTGCTACTTCCTCAGCGCCTCTACTCTTCTTCTCTTTAGGATTTAATGGTTGTTGAGGTTGTTGTTGCTGTGTGTGTGTGTCTGTGTGTCTCTGTCTGTATAGTTTATGTACACACACGGATTGCACACAGTACGTGCAAAGTGCAAAGATTGACTTTCAGTGCCCTTTTCAGGTGTCTTGTTCTGTGAGACAAGAGCTCCATTGGAACCTGGAGTACACTGAGACTGAGCTGGGCT